CTGGCAATGGAGACATATCCACTGACTTGAGCAAGAGCAACATGCCTAGGAGTCTCACTGCGTGAAAGATATGCTCATGCTCAGGTCTACAATCTCTAGGAACATCCCTCATTTCTCCACTTCTCTTAGCCCTTATACTCATGTATTTTATTCCTTCCTCTATACAGATGTGCTGTCCTGCCTCATTCCTTCCATAGCCTACTGTTGTTATTAAAGTCAGCTGGCCACTCTTCTGTCTCCCTGTGTTCCATTATCCTCTTCGCTTGTGTGTGGATGAAAGAGGGAGAACAGGATAGAAAGATCTACCAACAGCAGCTGAACACAAACTGAGTGTGGGACCTCTTCTCTCATGTCTTAAAGAGGATGCAAGCAAATGCCAATGGTATCCAAAGTACTTGGAGGGCTGGAAGGACAAGAAGTGGATTCCAAAAAGGGTGGTGCAAAGACAAGAGGAAGTCAGAGCATCTTCCAGCCTCTCCCAAAGCCATCTCCTCCGGTGGGTGGCTTGCAGAAGCATCTGAATATGGCATTTACCAATACAGAAACATGTGGCTAAGGCAACCCAAAAGTGGTTTCCTTAGCAGAAATACTTTGTAGAAACGGTGCCTAAATAAAGGCTACAGGATTTCACCTGTGATGTAACAGATACCAAGAAAAAGCAACGTTACTGGAGGGTGTAATGCAACCCAAACTGTTCAACCCGAGGGTTCAAGCACCACTCATCATCTTTGTTGCTCTTCCCCATACCTTTTCCAGATTTATCATATCCTAGAGATGAGGGACATAAACCGCACAGTGATGGTGATGAGGATTGTGGGAGAGGTGTACATGGTGGCGGGAGTAGTGGGTTACAAGCAGGAAAGGGACAGAGCTGAAGGCTCCTTTGTAAAACAGGATTCTTTTCCTATTTCTGCTGCAAACAGTTTCTACAGCCCTGGTCTTATCACCTAGAGTAAGCTTTTCACAGGTGATCACTATTTTTACATGACACGTTTTCTGAGTATCTAATGTGAGAACTGAAGCCAGATCCTCATCAGTGCTGAATTCTAACAAGTGCCTTCTGGTTGTGTTTTCCCCACAGAGGAGGCTATAAACAGTACTCTGAAAAACCAGTCCCTAGATGTCTCAAGACAGACACTCAAAATGGATAGCTGCTGTTGACAATTTTGGCTTTAATCTTTGTACATTGATGCTAAGGAGAACATGGCTTAAAAACACCCATTTGGAAATGAACAGTTCTTTATTCACTGCATGCTCTGAACAACACACCCGGAATATGGCATATGGCCACATCAAATGGGGATAACAAAAAGAAATAGTAATCACTCATTCACTGAATGCAGCAGAGGGTCTGTAGAAAATTTAATAAAGGGCCTCGTAAGGCTGTATTACAATGCCCTAGCTCAAAACTGTACAGGCAGTCTTAATGCCTAATCTGTCAGAGCCTGTCCTGGCAACTCCTGCCCTCTTTAGATGCAAAGATTATATATGTTAAATATCAGCAAATGAACAGTGGGAGGGAGTTCTTTTGGGAACAGCCTGAAATACTCACTTTGTTGCTTTTCCTGGCTGAGGGCATGCAGTAATCATGATGCAGCCTTGTGTTTTAAATCCTCTTGAAGCCCAAGACCTAAAGCATGACCCACCGATTAGTGGGCTATGGCAGCAGCTCAGGCCAGCTGCATGGGAGCAGCACAGCTCCTGCTGCCAGGAATCAAACAGGTGCTGGGGAAAAATACCTCCCTGGGCTTAGTTAATACCTGTCATTTGCTTCTGGCTTAAATAAAACATTGAAAACCATAAATGGAATGCATGGGGGCATTTTTAAAAACTACTGCTCAGATCCTATCCATGCTGGGTGAAACCCTGGCCCTGCTGAAATCAGGAACATTCATCTGCCAAGATTTCACCTCTGCTTTTTATTTGTGTTTGTACATGCATGTTTATCTTTCTGCCTGCCTTTCTCTCCTGCCTGGGGCTTTGTTCATTAAACTTACTATTGCTTTTTTTTCTCTAGTTTCTGGGAAGTTCTTTAAAATCCTGTGCTGCTATCCGTTTCACTTATAGGATTTTTCCCTTAGGATAAAGAATAATAGTTTGATTTGTGACACTGCGAGCCCTTAGGTACCAAAAGTTTATCGCTTGTTTTTTTTTCTAACTTGGAATCTGGCTGTGACAGGTAGAGGTATAGAGTATATTCAGGCCATAGGAAAAAGGCTTTGTGGGTGAGCATTTTCAAGCCCTCAGGTATTTCTGTAAAATCTCAGATTGTCAACCACGATGCCATGGCTTGTCAGTGAGACAGATGCCCCAACCTTGAAAGTGATGCAGAAATGAACACAAAGGAAATAAAAGAATCTAGGCAAGTAACAAATAAGCTACCCACAAGTATCCAACCTCAAGGAAAATGCATACTAACTTACATTATGTTATGTAGACAAAGTAAGATTTACTGAATGCTAGTTTTTCTCATCAGCGTATCACAGAGTACAGAGGCAATACTAGAAATGGTGACAACCTTTGTGTCTAGGTCCCTACATCTCTCACAGAGCATCCTCTTAAACTTAATGGAAATGTAAATATAAAACATTCACTGCAATAAAAGTCTCCGGAGATAGAGCCTAAGGAGCATGATTAGTATGGAAAATGCTTCATAAATCCTAACTCCAATAATCTCTGGTAGCATAAAGGATTCATCTCATTACGACTTTCTAACAGAGCCTTGTTAATTCTCACTTCACTAATCTGCAACCTTGAAAGTTCCCTCTCTGCATTTCAGTAAAGCATTGACAGCTGAGTGAAACAGGAAGGTATTCTAGCAAGGGCTACAGGTGACAGAATATATTCCAAAACACTCACTAGTTTTATATAAAATACTGTGCCTGACTACATTAAATAACAAGCTTTTCATAAATTATCATCTGTCATTTTTATTTTAGCATTTTAAATCAAATATCATAATCAATCAATTAATTTATCACATAGAATCTTTTGAAAGGCTGCTCTCAGTCAGTTATAGGAATAAAGGGTGTTCTGCATTATGGGTATTTCTCCTGACATACCCCTTGAGATGAAATATCTAATTTTGGACTAGTTTCTACTCGCTGTAAGCTTTTCAGACTGCTATTACCAATAAAAATCTTGAAGTGCATATACAGACACATACACACACCTATATATATAAAAATATATATATATATATAGACACACACATGTTAGTACAGACTTGTAGGCATACATCTCCTGGTACCACTAACGTGGCTGCATAGTTTACTGAAGACTTGCACAAATATAACTCTGTTTATAAGGTAGTTTGGGTAAGAAGGCAAAATGACAGAACATAAGAAATTCTGCCCAATTTTGTTCAGGCTCAAGAGCTAGCTTTGCCTCTACTGCCCTTGAGCGTATTTTGAAAAACATTAAAAACCCCTCTAAATGTAAATATACCTTAAAAATGATCCTTGTTTTTTCCAACACTAGGCAGACAGCATTTTCTTACCAAGAAGGGACTATTGATCATAATTAGGTATTAAGAGCTGAGTTGTTAATCACTACACTACTACAGCTATAAAATCCAGAGAATAAAAACATTTTTTTACCATTATGCAACAACCACCACTAACAAAGTTTTATTAAAACTTCACTGTATTACTGGCTGTGAAATGCAGTAAAATTTTGATGCAAAATGCGTTAATGCAGATGACATCATCAAGTGTTCCACATGTATAATTCTCTTTTTTTATCGATTTTACATCATCTCTCGTGATAGTACTATTCCATTACTGCAAAGTATAATTAATTTTATCAGTACACCCCTCCAAAAGGGCACAAATCGAGATGCATTTGAAAATGTACTCTTTATACTCCTCTCTGCATAGCTCACCAGTGAGCATATTGACACATGGGGTACCAGTGTGCCTGACTACCTCCAAGATCTTACACAAAGGAGAGAAGGGCAGAGCACAGAGCTGTGTGAGCTGTGTAATGCACAGAGGTGCACAGAGCACCTTAGAGCCATTGAAAGTCCTTGGTGAAGCTGGCAGCAGTGTTTTGCCCTTTAAAACTGCTGTGCATTACCATGAGCTGGCTTTCTGTACACCACTCTCAGAGAAAACACTTCTCATACCCCCAGGCTGCTTCTATGCATCTCGTCTGCACTCTCAGGTGGACCAGCCACCATTACCTCTCCCTAAACCTCAGCAGCAGGGCTGTGTCAGTGGGATGTCCATGGGGGAAGCAGGGAAAGGGCAGAGAGGTAAGAACTTACTTCAGATTTCAAAACACTGATGTATTTGAGATAGTAGGTGGCAGACCTGGGCTGTACTAGAAACAACAGCTCTAGGTGCAGAAGCACCGAAGCTGTCTGGCCATTAGGAGGAAGCACATTATACTATATAACTGAACCCTGGCATGGGGAATCTACTGTTTGTTATTTTTTGTCATTTTTTTCCTTGATATGAGTTCTGCAGGGTGTTATTTTTCAGCTCCTGCCTATCCCAAGCACTGAGAGCACATCTAACAAATACATTAAGCTGCGACGTGTGATGTGCATTTCCCTTTACTTTGATACTAATTTCTTTAAGGTTATGAACAAGTGGTCTTGCAAGTTCTTTCCCTCCTCACACATGAGAGCTCTGCTCAGTTCTGTGGTGCAGAAGCAAAAAGCCTCCACTAATCTAGCCACATTTTCTCACTTTAGTAGTGTAGAAGAGTTAGATACCTTCTGCCTTCAAAGATGAAATTTCTTCAGCACCCATTGCTTTGTTACTACAATCCAAGTTATAAACCTTTGAAAGTGATAAAAGTCTCAGTATATTTTAATTATGTTTTACTTCTCAGCCCATTTAAAAACCATATATGCTGATATTTTATTTCCCCAGAAGCTTTTCACATGATATTAGGCAGTCTGACAAAACTTTAAGATATTCTAAAAGAAGAAAAATGAAAAGGCAACCAACCTTTACTTTAGAAATTAAAGATAAGCTAGAAAATGAACATACCAACAGCCATCATGTAATCCCAGCGGTCTATGAGGCACATATTGAAGATCAGGTGGTCAGATGTTTGCCCTTGGCCAATGAGTGGAATGTTTCTCTCCAAATTTTGGGTTATTGCAGAAGTCCAGCCAACGAGGAACCAAAAGACTATCAGGAGAATAACAGCCAGCATCCTCATCACTCGCCCACCTGTCATGTATGGAATACGCTGAGCAGTTCGGGACAGGAATACCTTCAAAACCCTGAGAAATTCAGACAGTGCAGAATTAAGAAAAGCACTAGCAGTGTCACAGGAATTAGAGTTTCATTTTATTTCACTATCAGATTATTAAAACAAATTATCAACATTCTTTCCCCTGACAATATGTACAAGGGTGAAATTTGAAACATTATTACTTTCATATTCATCGTATTTAAATGGAACTGATTGCTGCCCAGAGAGTGCTACACAACAATAGTAGAAAATATTAGCTATGCTTATGTTAGAGACATGCATTCACATGCTGTGTTGTCAAGCTGTTTTGTACCTTCCAGCTCCCAGTGGAAGACTTCTGTCTTTGGAAAAGGGAAGGTAATTTCCACAAAATAGCAACCACGTGTGTGAGATTTCATTTCATTTTGACGCTGTCTGTCTGCTCACCCCAATGGTGCTATTTCCAGAGAAAAAATTAGCACTTCTTGGATATTTTTCCCATTGAGTTTGATGCTTCCGAGACAATAACCTACTCCTCACAGAAATAACTGTGGAAGGCAATTTGCTAATTAAGTGGTTTCTGAGTTGTTCAGAGGCAGCAACATGTTTTCTGAGATGGGACAGAAGCATCATAAGAAAAGCCATATCATATGTCAGGCACATATACCAAGGAACAGCCACTGAACATGTAACACTCACTTTAAAAATACTTGCACTTACTATTAGGATAGGTTTACTCCTGCCAAGAACCGTTCAAGGAAATATCACCTGCATTTTCTACCCATCATCACCTGCTAAAGCAGAAAAAGGTCCTGCTGGGAGCATTAGGGCAACCAAAATTTGAGGAAATTGCCTCGGGAAGAGAGAGTAGTAGCACAGAATATCCCATTGCAGTGCTCTGCCTTGACCCTGCCAAGCTACCAAGGCTGGGCAGTGAGGAAAGGCTATCAGAGAAGTCTTCCTGTACCCAAACCTTCAGTAGTGGATGGGCTGAAGTTTAAATGCTGTTTTAGAGATTGGGGTGAGGAGCCTTTCAAAGTGAAGAGGTGAGCTGTTTCAGTGATTTTGTCCTCAAAACCACAGTGGTTCCTGATTCCTAAGCATGAGCATGTCCAGTGAATACTCTTGATATCCAAGAAGGGAAAAATTATCACTGAGGTTTAGGGAACTTGAACTTTTTTAGAAAGTTGGGTTTTTAAATGCCCTTGTCATCTCTCAAGTCTTTTCAGCGTACCAAGCACCAAGCCACCTTCCAAGTTGTTCCACAGCCAGGCCCGCCTTTTCAGCAAAAAAACCCCACACTCCAGATTAATATTTATGCTTATATTTGTCTAAGAGAAGGCAGAAGCAACTGGCGTTGCCTCTCAAACAAATAATAGAGCAGTGTCTTTTAAGGCAGAAGCACAAAAGCTTTTCCACATCCAGAAAAATGAATCATCGTTTGACTACAAACACAGCCTTCACAGTGTGCATTAGGTGAAGTCAGAGATCTGAGTATGTTCAACATTATTCAGCTGTTTCCCTCCCAACAGTTACTCCGCAGGGAGTCACAGTTCTTGATCTTTCCATGTTTGATAGATGTTCTGCTCTCCCTTTACAGATGCTAAGTGTTTTATGTTGGTAGCAGCTTCCCAAAGACTTCAGGCAGGATAGACAGAAAAGTCTACAGAGGCAAGGCAAGCGACTTCCCTCCGCATTGCTCAGCCACAGCACTATTGTTCCAGGGCAGCACTGGTAAATCCTCATTTTTAGAACACTAAAAATCAGTAAGTGAAGGCTTTCCTCCTCCCTGTTGTGAGTGCCCATCAATACTTAGCTTCTTTGAAGGGAAGGAAAAGGTATTCTTTTTGTAGCGAACTGGAAAACACTGTCTTTTCACAGCTATAGTTTGCCATTTGAGAAAAATCTCATCATACATGTTTATGAAGGTTTAAGAATTAGAGAAATCATACAAACCAGTTGAGAACTACTAGAAACTTTCCTTTGCATTTCGGCTCTCCAAAGTAAATTTTTTCTCATTCTACTGAAAGCCAACATGTGAGCCTTTTCTGGGCGTAACAAGGCAGGACCCTTTACATTTTTGCCATTACTAGCTCATTAACTGCTGACTGTGAGACAGCTTTCTAAGGGAGAGGGGTGGGCTGCTGTTACATTATTGATCTAAGCACAGCGAAACAAGTAACAGTTTGCACTACAGCAGTCAAAACCCCTCCAATATGGATCAAACCACATTTCTTTTTTTCTTCTCTTTTTCACAAAAATAAGCATCCACCACCACCACCATTTCTACCCTGGACATGTAGGCCTACATGTAACCCAACCTTTACACTTTCTTTTTTCAAAAATTCTTTTTCTGAGAAGCTGTAAGGAAAGCTGGGTTAGATCTGTAGTGTTGAAAATTTCCTTTCCAGAGGCTGTGGCATAGAAGTACTCAACCAGAACATGAGCTCCAGAGTTGCAATTCCCTCATCTTCCTGATGCAATGTGAATCTAGACCTGCATTGCTCACCACATCAACACTGGCTGATGGGCTCTGTCTCCTCTCATCTTCTATGTATTACTGAACATGTATCAAAGCAGAGACAAGTGCCCAGGAGCTTCCCCTCCCAAGAGCATGCCTACTCACCAGGCTGGAGGGTCATTCTCCTTCCCTGTACCTCTGACTCATATACTATCAAAGTTCACCATAAAAAAGTTGAATTGCTGCAATACGAGACCAAATTGCCTCAGCAAACACATACTGTCTGATGACTGGTACCCTCCATCGGAAAATTGGGAGTTCTTGATTCAGATCCCTGCCCTGACTTCTGGGTAGACAATGCTCAGTCCTCCTTTTCCGCACTGTTCTCTATCTATGTATTGGGTTGAACTAGCTATTGAGCAAATGGGAGAGATTTCTCACAGGGAGGTAAGAAGTGGAGCTGGTGGGCTGCATCTATACTAGGAAATTAAATATGCCCAGGGTTGTCCAACCTGCACAGAACAGCCAGCATCCACACTATTACCCTCCAACACAGGGTGGCTGCATGCAAACTGCCCACTGCAAGGGCCTGTGCCAACTCCTGAACCACGCTGGGAACAGCTTGGGAGCATTCAGGTTAGCACAGGACAAGGGCAGGGCAGGGACTGCTAAAACAATTCAGCAGGACAGAGGATGGAGTTCCAGTGCCCAGGAATGTTCTCTGGTGCTACTTCATTTACGAATATGGATGTAGCCCTGGATTCAAATCCCTGAGCAAATTAATGTTTAATTATGAGTATCAAGTAAGGCAATGTCAACTGTAAAGCCTCCTCATCCTGTCCTATCTACCCCCAAAATGCCTGGTAGCGCTAGGCAGTGCCCTGGTAGAAGCTTAGGGCACTGTTTGAGATGCACAGCTTCTGCTCTAAGGCAGAAGAAGAAACTTAACCATCTTCCTCAGCATCTTCTAGCTCTTCTCCCAGCTAAAACCATTCAGCATGTGCAATCCACTTTTATGTGCTGCTGTTGAATAATGAAACCCTCATTTTCAGTGACATGTCATCAGGCAGATCAGACAGAACACTGCAATGTGCTCTACCTGCTTTGCTGGAAGACACAGCTGCCTTCAAGCAAAGCTTTGACCTGCAGACTGCTACAGCCAGCATGAAAGCTGATATGCAATAGCCATCCTTCTTACAGAGTGAACAGAAGGCACAGTTCAGGCTGAATGAACTGCCTGGAGACCACTGCAGGTAACTCCCAACTCTGCTGGCTGCACTGTCAGGTCTGGGGAGAATTAAGCTCTATGGTCTGAGGGTTTTTTGGGGGGGCCTGGCTCCATATAAATGGACAAGGAGAGGGCTTGGTTGCAAATACTGAGAGCTGAGGGCCAAGGGAAGCCCTGTAGCCAGGAAGAGAAGTGATGCTGCAAGTGGATCCAAAGCAGAGGGACAGAGCGTGCTGGTTCACGGGACTGGCTGGGATCACCAGCTTGGAAACAGCAAGCGAAGCACGTGTCTGCTGCTGTAGAAGTTACATCCTGAGAAGTAATGTGTAATCTTAGCAAAGAAATAAAACCATACCAAATTTTCATGTCATATCAATAATCTGTCCTGCGAACAGAAAACATGTCCCCCAAACTATCAGCTGACTGCATAAGTAGCAGAAACAACAGGTGAAGGATCTTGCTTTGACAGCAATGAAGTGGCGCAGTTTGTTTATTTTTTATTTCTAGCATCTGTCATTTTGTGGCTCTACTGAGTCATGCTGTCAACTGTTCTGTTCCAGACTGATGATTTTTATTGTGATACGAAAGCTACATCAGAAAGATAATGGGTCAAGCTCTTATGAAGTATATTGCCCTCCTATGGTGCAGGGATTATGTCTTATTTGCTTTTTCCAGAGTAACAGTGAACGTGCCACTAGTTACTTTGAGTTTGTAAACTGATGTGATTCTACTAAAAATGAAAAGGTACTGATGGCACATGTATGGCACCATATCAATACAAAAGAGAGCCTACACTTCACACTTGACACACAGGTGCACACACATACACAAATACTCACTGCAGGTTTTATTTCCACATCAGGGAAGATAACTGAAGAAAGAACATCAACACTTAAGGCCCAAGACCTCACAAATCATATTTAGATGCACTCATACTACCAGTTACTGGCTCTCTGCTGGAAAGGATAAAACCCAACTGAGAGACAGAAATGAACAGCTTTCTAAACCACACCCCAGCTGAAAGTCTCCAAATTAGTCATGGTCAACTTTACAAGTGACTTCTTAAGACCTCAGCATAGAACAGAACTAAGCCCAGCACTGAAGAAGATACTCACCGAAATCAGGATGTTCTTTTGCTTTATTGAGTCTGATCATCTTCGACCTGGGCAAACCAGGGCTGAGAGCCGTGCCATGTCAACAGCATGACAACGGCATGGCAAGACCACCATCATACACATCACGTCCTGTCCAGTGAAAAAGTACAACTAGAGAAAGAAGTTCTGGCAATTATTTGGGTGTATGAATACTCCTGGGAGTCCCCATCCTCTGTGTAGCCAGCAAACTTGGCCACATATCACTG